CAAGGAAATTGGCTATATCGAAGAGAGTAAACCTACACAAATTCGTATTAAAATTCTTTATTGTGTTGGTTCATTCCCTTCGATATAACAAGTCCTAGTTAACAATAAAGTCTAAGTATACAAGTCATACTCAAAAGAAAAGACTAGAAGCACGTATCTTAATTTATGGCATAATATTGTTATAATGTTAAAAGACAAACGATTTCGTTAGAAACTAAAACAGAAAAATCATTGATAAAAAAAGAATTTGCTAAAGATACGCGATCTCAAATAATATTTTTTATAGTGCAGAAATAAATATATTTTAAAAATTTTTAATATTTAATGAAAAACTATTTAAAAATACAAGAAATGACTCGAGCAATTAAGTAAGCACAAGTGCTTGATAATCAATAAAATAGAGATTTTATTATTTTCATTTCTCAAAAAAGACATTTACAGTAGAATCCGTTTACTGAAAACCCGATATTTTATCGGTTATTTAATGTTATCAGAATTAGCATTAATTAAAATACACTTATAAAACTTCGCTTATTGTAATCAGTCTCGGTTATAGTTATCGTTATGTTCAGATAAATTGGCATTTTTAAGTTCTCTTTTTTGGACTATCGGCCTCAATAGACGACTGATAACCGTCAATACTTATTAATCTGAACTAATGCTTTATACATTAAACAATAATCGTTTAAATTGGTATTTGTTAGAAATATAAAAGTTTAAATTGCTAACATTTTTTACTTTAATTGTTACGCTAATTGTTGTTTAAAACGGTATTGCGAAATCAGCAGACAAACAACACTGGATAAATTACTATTAATTAATAATAATTATTGTAATTAATAAATCTTTTCTAAGCAGAGTTTAAAATCTGCTACTCACGAGAACCCCTACCCATTAACTCTAAATCTGCACTCGTCGGGAATTCGGGAAACTCAGGGGTCACAAAGTGGAAAGTATAGCTTGGTCTGCGGATTGAGGAGAGAAAGGTTCTCACCTTTCGCCCTGGACGTACGTAAAATTCATATACTCTTGTGGTCACCTTTCTTTTTAGTTCAATTATTGTATTCGTAGCTGCTGTCATATTACATCTTTCTACATTTGTTAATCAACTCGAGCCAAGAAAATCAGAACTTCTTTTAATTGTAGTCTTATTCATCAATCTTGCCATTGGCTATTAGTGTATGATTTAAATTCTACTGATTACAAATAGGAAACATAACGGAAAATATTTGAGAAGTGTCAATATAATGAATGAAAGTGATTTTATACAAAATAAAGTTTGAGATGGGGGAATAAAACTGATGGGACCATTGAATAAAGTAAAGATTACGTAAGTAATAAATACGCATTTAAATGTTCTACGAATGTCACTATTAGAGTCACGAACGATTGGAAGTGAAATGAGAATATTGACGGATTCAAATATTATGTTCGATAGAGTAATTTATATGTGAAATGATTTGGAAACAACATCGTTAAATCTAATTTATTTCGTATGTGAATGTGGATGACTAGATTTAACGTGTTGGCGTCCAAATACAGCAGGAACAGGAACACTTTTCGTTTCAACTTAAAACTTAAACAGAGAAAATAAGATTTAATTAATTTTTTATTATCTGAACAGAGAAAGCGATAGAAGAATTGCGAATAATATTATATACATACAACTTGAGCATTGTAATTAATTTCTATTTTTAATTTTCATTTACTACATTCAAATAGCTGAATTATTTTTTTAAAATTTTATAAAATTATAAAGAATATTTTCTTTCGATAACAGATGACATTTTAATTACATTAATCAATTTTGAATATTCGTAGTTAATCGTGACCGTCAGAGAAACTGTTCATCGTTAGCAAATCATAAATAACCTTAATATCAGAACCAAATAAATTTAAATGACTGGTTTGACAACGTAATAAGTTATCCATCTATTTATTAATTTCTTGCATTAGTCAAATAATTTCAATTATTTAAACCTGTTACTACCAGATATAAAAATATGGCTTAATATTCATTTAAAAGTATTTCTATTAAGATTTTACTGCGAATTACTATTTGTAGGGTCAAATATTAAGTTAGATAAATTTAAGTGATAGCAATCTTAAGAAAAATGATTTTAATGACATCTCTGATTCAATATCGAAAATCAGAACTTCTAAAATTTGAATTATTTGGAATTATAAAGTTTTGGTTGTTACAAGATCAATATTGTATTAATAAAATATAAACTATACAATTTGGCTAAGCTATTATTTTAAAAAATAATATATATAGTCTATATTGTTTTTATATATAATAAAAGATGAAGATATTTATGCCCGGCATTATGGAATATTGTCTTAATCGTGAGATTGGATTGGATTTTATTTCTGAGGAAGAGACAGGTGGTCTATACCGACTCCATTCTAAATGAGGCAGAGTTTATTTCGTAATGTAAAGTCATTGTGTAGATAGTAGAAGAATGGTGTAAGACATCCTAACCCAAATTTCTATTGAAAATTATGAAAGTTCGTATCAAACTCGAATGAATCCGAATCGTCAGTAACGACAGTAATCGCGAAATCGAATATTTTACTAGAAATACCCGCGTTCGAGTCTAGGTAGGAACCTCAGAATTTTTTCAGATGTGGTCTGTCCCAAAAACATCGGGCTTACCTCCTCGGCTATTCTTTGTGAGTCTGACCGAAGTCATAATGAGACGGGGAAAAAAGACATTTTAGAGTCGTGAGGACAGAAAAAATGAAAAACTAAAAAAATCGATGAAAATATATCTGACAGAAAGCCGTATTAAGTATAGATTTTTAGATAATAATTCTATATATATTATTTTAAAGCATAATATTAAAATATTTTCATATTATTGGAGTTCCTTTATTATAAAACAAAACATTTTAAACGTAATTTAATTAATTAATTTTCGATAACAAGTACTGTAATTCGAAAAATCAATTCAATATTAAAGAATACTTTTTAAATGCTCTAAGCAAAATACGTCTTGAAAAAATTCGGTTTTGGCACTATATACAATGCAGAGGTAATTAAACTTTTATAATTATTGTGCCAAAATTAAACAATGCTTCAATGTGCTGGTTTTATTTGGAAAAAACAGTTACGCTTAATTTTCTAATATGAAAAGAAAATTACTATAACCTATCTCTTATTTAGTTATAGCCCAAAATAATCTAATGGTTTTAATTACATTTTTAAAGTCCTAGAAAAATTTAATATAGTTTATTTTGTCCGTTATTAATGTTATTAATCCGATAAAAACTAGTGGAACTAGGTTGAAAAGTGAAGCACAACGAAAACATCTGAATAAAGAAAACTTTTGAAAGTCGTGGCATAGGAATACTGGAACCAGATTTGACAGTAAGATTAACACGTGAATAAAGTGCACATTACACAGACTACAACTTCAGGAAGTTTTGGATAAAACAGTCACCATGATAATAAATCAGGAAAACAAGTATCGTTACAGAAAAAGGCTTCGAGCTTTACGTTGTGCCTTAGATTTCATTCGTTAATATTGCTCAAAGATGCTCTAACATTCAGCCAATTATTGTAGGTGCGACGACTTTAAGGAACAAAGTAAAACTCGAAGCCTTTTTCTGTAACGATGTTTGTTTTCCTGATTTATTATCATGGTGACTGTTTTATCCAAAACTTCCTGTAGTTGTAGTCTGTGTAACGTGCATTTTATTCACGTGTTAATCTTACTGTCAAATCTGGTTCCAGTATTCTTATGCCACGACTTTCAAAAGTTTCCTGTATTTAAACGTTTTCGCCCAGCTTTACTTTTCAATCTGGTTTCACCAGTTTTTTTTAATGGGATTTCAAGTATTTTTCAGTCATCAATAACTTCATCATAGAATAGTTTTCATTATAATTTTACATTCACCTGTCAGTCACGCGATAGCTTGCACTACGTCTAATTGACCAATAACATGTTAAAATTTAAAAACGGATTATTATTTTATAAATACTCAATATTTTAAAATAAAACCTTCAAAAAAGCAAACGGATGGACAATTCTCAAACGAGTTTTTAAATCTAGAAGAAACTTGCGTATGTTTAAACATATGCAAACTTTGGTGGTTTGGTATCGTTATTCTCTGTCGTTGGAAATCTAGACGACAAAATGCCGATCGCGTAACTCCAAACGGATCCAACGAATTTGTTCAAAATTTAAGACGTCTATATCAATAGTATAATCAATAGTATTCATCAGACACTAACTATTTTAATATTCATTCAAGTTCAGAAAACATTTCGAACTTAAATGAATATTTTGATTAAAACTTTTGATTTATTGAGTTGTCATTTGAAATTTTGAATTATTTATTTATTTTATCGTAAATAAATAATATTATTCCGAATCTAAAATGCATTTTTTTCAATATTTCCAAAATAAAAACTAGTGCATGTCTTAAAATCGAAGCATTTTTTATTCTCTAAATATCCATGTAATATTCTAACGCATAGTAATAGCATTGTAATATTTACGGTTTACTTCATATTTTCTGTTAATTATATTTTATTTCAAATACATTTTATTAATGATTTTTATTTTTTTAAATTCTATTTTTCTTCTATAATTAATTAAATTTTTTCTAGAAAACCCTTTTCTAAAGTCGAGGTAAGTCTTACAATTTTGAAACAGAATAGTGATTAATGTATTCTAATTCAATTACCTACAGTTTAAAATATTAAATACAAATTTGTATTCTACTTATATTTTACGCAAAATTAAATACATGCTTGAACTGAAATCTTATTTTATATCTAAAATAAAATGAATATTTTAAATATAATTATTGTTGCGTTTCGATAGCATCTTTCTGAGGATAAGCTATGGGACATCATTGTTTTCATATTCGATACTATACTTTTAAAGTTTTAAAGTGAATTTGACATTTTAAACATTTCAAGAATAAATAAAAAAGTGCATAATTTATCAATTTCTATATACACAAAATGAGGCAACACACCTACTTACAAGTTGAATCCATCGATGAGCTTTTAACTAGTTTCCATTCATCTCGACAATAAGGATAATCATCTAAAAATGATAATCTATTAATTACTTCGTTATAATTATTATATGATTAATTTTATTGTGTATATTTTTAGATATTTTCAAATTTATAATAGCATACCTGTAAGCGAGCGCGATTGTAACATTTCTCTTTGAGCACCTCTTCTCAATAATTGTCTAGCCATGTCGTGAGCTGGAGTAGAAGGCACCAAACTTCCTGTTGATCCAGCTTTATATGAAGGCAACAATAATGTTTGAGATGATAGATAATACCATTTTGGGGTATTATGCAGCTCTACTTGTCTAAATGGAATCTGAGTTTCTCCCAAAAAGCAATGATTTTCGGAAACTCCTGCATCCCAAATAGTAACGTCCAATATTTTTTCCATTAGCTATAAAATCATAAAATTATTTTATCTTATAATGGGAATAATTTGATATAAAATATCAAAACAATATTGTATTATTGCTAATTAAAAAATAATTTCGATTCTTTACATATAAATTTATATCAAAATGAACGTACAAACACACATTTACATGATAAAAAATGTTACTTATAGCAGGTATTCAAATAACTATAGTATGCTTAGTTGTAGCACTATCAGATCTTATACTTTGCTATAATTACAGATAATTTTCTTTCTCATTTTTCTTAAACACATATTTTAATATAAAAATGACAATCTCCGAAAATTTAAATACGAATTATTTAAAAATTCTGTACTTTTAGTTAAAATAACCCCTACTCATATCAACAGTATCACTGTAAATTTAATATACTTTATTAAGGACAATTAGGGGATATTGCATTATCAGCTTAATAACTGTAACGATTTTATATAAGTTTAATGGTCGAAACGAATTAACTTCTAAACAGTTTAAGATTTGCGATATGATCTTGTAGCAATATAACATTAATGGAGCATATTCTGAAACTGATAAAACAGTAAAATTCTTGGCATGAAAAACAAAAATTATTTAAAATTTTTGTTTAATATTAATATCGTAAAAGATTAAAATAAGACTGATAATATGATTTCCTATAAAATACACAGCTGAATGTTGTTTTTTTTAGTTTTTTGGGAAGTATTGCCGAACACAATGAAAACAATTCCGAAAAAATGAAATCATTTACTAGTTTATATTTGTTTTGCATTATGTGAAACATAAAATTCCACAGTTCATGCAATTCTAGAATGCATGGAAATACTGTTAGCATTGTTATACGAGAATAGTCCAATAAATAACCTTAATTAATTGGTTAGAAAGTAGCCATAACTTATATGAAAAAGGATACAGCATTACTTTTTAACATAGTCTTCCTATCATTTTTTGAGTGGAGCTTGAATTGCAACAGAAAAGAAATCCTTTGGATAGATGCGTAACCATTTATTTGCCGCGTTTTCAAAAATTTCGAACGAAAAACGAAATTTCATCCACGAAGATTCTTCTCCGTACTCCTAAAAATATGATAATTTTGACAATGCAAGTATGGAGCGTACGGAGGACAAAAAAAAAATTTAAATTTTACCATTTTGTTTTTTTCATTTATAGCGGCAACTCCGTGAGTACTCAAAATGACGGACACTTTTCGTATTGCAACATATTACAGCCGAGCCAATGCTGTTGCATATCATGCGTTCAACTAACATTCATCTGCAAAACCTCATCCAGCTCTTACACAATGATTTGACTTGCTTGAGGAATAGGCAGACACTTTGATATATCTTTTATCGAAGATGACAATCGTGAATTTGGTTTTCATTTGAAAAAAAATACATAGCAGAACGGTGCCGTTCTTTGATATAAACTTCAAGAAATGCTGCCATCTCGTACTGGCAGTATTGACGTGATACTGCATATTGTACTAACTTAGTTGTTATGCACAACAAGATTTGCTCTATAATGCGAATGCGTCCTAGGCAACTCCTAGGAAACTCCGCTGGAATAAAATAATTCGATTGTTGTAGATTTTTCACATACTTTTAAGGTTACTTATTAAATTATTGCCTTATATATTATTAGATGTATGATTTTTGTTCACTAGTTATTTTTCTAATTAATATTTTATCGATAGAGTAGTTAAACTGCTAATTTCTGTTATATTGAAAGAATAAAATTACCGAAACTTGAGATATATTTGATATGTCATTAGTTTTAAGTTATTTCTTGTATGTCATATTTATGATGGTCATTGCAGCATAAATTTGATTACAAAGTGTGCAACAAAAACAATTCTGTATTTTTCTATTCACACGTATACGATCTAAGTAAGCAAATTTGAGTCTTTTATATTTCAAGAATTAAATCATTACAGACATATCCTTTATGTACTGTGGAATACATCCTTGTGGTGCATCCTCGTTAATGCTAGATGATGGCAGGTAACTGAGGCGTTTAAAAGCGTCAGCCTGCCTCTATGGAGGATCTGGACTCAAGTCCAGATCAGGAGCCTCAAATATTTCATGGACCTTGTATGCCTATCCAAATTCGATGAGTATTATTTAAAATAATTTTAATATATTTAAAACTAAACTTTAACAAACACGCTATTATTGGTTATTTTTCGATATTGAAGCGGAGGGTAGGATTTGATGGCACCTCCACCCATATACATCATCTACAATACATTTACACACACACACATGATTAAACACATGTGATTAAATTCTACATTTGGTTATGTTTATTGGGTTTCGGAGTGGAGAGAATGGTGGAAGTGGAGCTATCTCTTAAAACATTATTAAAATACATAGTCATCGAAGTGTATTCATAGTTATGTCTTCAAAGTTTTAATCTTAAGTTCTATCTTAACTAGAAGTAGACAAAATGCGAGTTGCAAGATTTGAGGATATGATATAAAACAAGTTAATAAAAGTGTTTAATAAAATTATCTTTTTAGTGTTCTTGGAGCAAAAACGCTAAATAGTCCACAGTGAGCTGTTGCCAAACTGTTCTTTGCACCAACGGCCAAAATGCAGAGTAATCAAACAAAAATCTTATACGACTGCAAGAAGTTTATAATAGATATATTATCACTAGAGTTTGTATTAAATATAGCCTATATATTCAAAATTTAAATATTTCTCTTAACGTATAACAGAAAGCAGAGTGTTTTGGACGAATAAAACGAAATGTTATGTCCTTCACGATAACAATCAGTTGTTACCGTGATTGATATCGAAGAGGCCCTAAAAATTGGTGTAAAGTCTATCGCAGATTGTACTTTTACTGAAGAGGGAGCAGCGAAAACTCTGATCCGAAATGCATTTAAAATAAAAAATCTGCGAAAAAAATCGTCTTCTGAATAATTTTTGAACTTCGGTGAACGTCGGATTCGAAGAACATAAACAAAAAACCCCCTTTAAATGGTTGTAATTCCAATAGCCTAGATATCTGGGAGACTTTGCAGATCAACAGTCACCGAGATTTATATGGTTTGAACACGGCCATGGAAAGGCAGGGCCAAAGCCTATGTAAATGTTCTCTTATAAATATTCAGCAAAGCTTTAAAATTTATAATTATTTACATAACAGGCAATTATGGAAATATTTCCTTACATAAATAGATTTGAACTGTTTCCAGACTGTCGGTGTCAGTGATTGAATTCTGCAGCTAGAGACGAGATAGGCTTCAAATCAAATTTAATAGGCCATGAACTTCGCGTACTTTTAAAATTTTTATTTTTGTTTCAAATTATATTCATTTCACATTAAAAATATACAAAGCTCGTAATCAGACATCCACAGTCCATGCGTGAGCCATAAAATATCATATAATTGAGAACAAATGCATTAAAATATAATAGCATTTCCTTTTTCTGTGCAATGAAATCACTAACGTCGAATTGTTATTTGGTTTTATAAATTTACAATAAAAAGTTAAATTTCATAGTAACGTTATTATTATTATTTAACTTTTTCCGAAAAACCATTCCCGAAAAAAATCCCCGAAATCCCAAAGCGGCAGCCTAATGCCTTAACTGCCTTAGCTCCGCCGTCCTAAAATGTTGTAACTTCATAACATATGAAGTTATAACATAACGTAAATCCGTGCTTCTTTAATTATCGACAAATCTGTAAGAATAATTCTATATCAGCAAACTAATTTAGAAAATTATCGTATTCATCATTTACAATATTCAGATATAATATATTTTAAAATATAAAATGAAAATTACTAATTACTATTTATAACTGATTCAAGATTAAAGTGATAAATTATCTAGGCGTTGAAGAATTTATCTATGACACTTATCCCGTGGAAAACTCGTCAATTTTTCAATGGCTGATAAGATCTTTTAATGTGTTAGTGCTAAATTATAATGATTTATAAATTATTAGTGAAAAGAAGTAAGAATTAACAATGCTAAATTATAGCGATCGATATTCAAGAAGAAAATACGAGGCAAGAAAACTGTTTAATTGATAATTATTAATCATTGATTATTATTCAGTTTTATTTAATTGAATAAAATTTTTCTGCCTCGTTGCAATCTTGTACGATTATCGGATTCTGTCACAGAATTTACAGAACTAAAGTAAACAACGCTTTAATGAATAATTTACTAATAACTTACATCTTCAGTAGATATGTCAGTAAAGACAAAGACGTTGTTCCATTCGGGATTAATACTCGGTTCTGCTATGCACGATTTTCTCGATGCTTGTCCTCTAAATGGAAAAGTAGAGATTTAATATGCACGAAAACTGTAAAATAAACGCCAAAATAAATATTTTTACTCACGATGGTGGTAAAATACGAAGTTTGCAATATGCACGAGGTAAAGTGCTGATGGAATGCCTTCTGCAACGAAGTTTCCGAGCTCCCATGACTGTTACAATTAACTCCATATGAATCTGGTCATACTGTATTTTTAGGCTAACTTCACCATTAGTGCGACTGTACCGATCCTTTAGTAATATAATTTAAAATTACATTTTGCAAAACTTCGCAGCAAATATGATTTTTACATATTAATATAGTTTTTACTTACTGGTGTCCTAGGTAATTTTCTTCTCACTGATAAAACCTGTGATACTTCAGTTTCTGAACTATCTTCTATTAAAAATATATTTATGTATAGAAAATTAGAGCAATAAATTCAGATATTATTATTCATTCAGTATATAACTTAATTTCTATAAACTTTTAAAAAATTTCAAACAATTACATATAATTTTTCTTTTCATTTTTTCCAGTCATTTAGCATAAACACATAGAATACATGCTAAAGTATTGAATCGAACAATGAATATTTGCAATTGCACGCTACTCAGTCCGTAGCAGAGTTGACCAATCCAATTTGTCGACTCAAAAACCATAAGAATTACGGAATGATTTCAGTCGTACATCCTTCATATCCGATTATCCTATTGCCAGATCATTCAACCGGACATTTTCTTTATTCTTCATCTGTTACGATGCACATCTCGATATATATTTATCAAATAATGATGAAGCTAACAGTTTCGCGTGTCTAAATGCCAATGTAAAGAAGTCATTCGTTCTGTTTCAAAATGATTGTCATTAAATATATATCCGACGCACTTAGGCACGGTTTCAATTTAAAATCTGATTAAACAAACCACGTTTACATTAATGAATGGAAATATTAAAGAAACTGTGTTATGCATTCTGATAAGAGAAGCTCGATAAGTCTCTTGTTTCGACTCTTGTAATTAGCTACGTGCTGGTACATACACGCGACTCAGTAATTACTTACATAATTATTATATTATTTTAAGAATTATTCGGTGCAGATAAACGAGAGTAAATAAATTTTTAAAGTTATTATTTTTTAAAATTTTTTCCTATTACATTCGTTACATCAAAACATAAGTGTTAATAATATTTTCACAAATTATAATGCTTATATATAACGAATTTTTTAAGAATAGCGATATAAATAATAAATTATATATAGATTATCATCAAATCTAAACTCATAGAAATGATATGTTTTTATTTCTAAATAAAAAAAAATCGATGAACTCATTGTTTCGCGCACGTTTTTATATAATAGAATAATAAATCAGTAGCACGAATTGAACTCGTACACGTTATTGAGATGTTTGTTTTTAGAATCACATAGACTTGGAAATTTATGTCGAACATTCAAATTTTGATTGCTTCTGGTTTAGATTACTTCATTTAATCATTCACCATTAGAAATTTTTCTTAAATAAATGTATTAAAACATTACGTTATTGTACGTTTTTATAGGCATATTATAATTATGTACTGTATACTACAGATAGACCTGTATTGTGTTTGATTCTATCAATTATTATATAAATTACATAAAAATAATTATTGATAGAATTAAAAATAATGCTTTATTGAACTCTACAATATATTAAAATAATATTGCAATAAACTTACCCGAGGACAACAAAGAAGAAGAAGATCCTTTACCTCGTCTGTTATGGCTAGGTCTAAAAACATGAAAAACTTTTAAATTATACAATAAATAAAAACCAACCATTCTGGCTATTTAAAAATAAATTTATAAACTTGTGTTTTTTTTAATATCGCTATAAACTTTTATGAAATACTTAAAGATTTATACAGAGAAAATTTTAGTGAGTATATTTTTGTTCTTAAAAGCGAAGAATCTTAAATAAATTCATTGAAACTAAATTGGTAACAGATTGTTGTCTTGTTCGTGTTATCATATTAATTTAAACTTTGTTAAATTTCTAATTATGACAAACTTTTCGCTTTAAGATTAGAGAAAACATTTGAATCTAGACAGTTTATTGTAAATAGAATAATAAATAACTTCATGTTAAGAATCGACAGAAACATTTCAATTTAAAATGATGAATCATATAATATAAACCATTTAATGTAAATGTAAATATCAAAGACAATGAATAATCTTTATCTTCGATTAATTAAAAGTGATATCTATGATGTTAATTATTATATTATTACAAATTTTGGACAGTTTTTATTCAATAATAAATTCTAAGCTTATCTACGAATCAGTTATATTTATGAATTAAATTTATCGATTATATTCACAAGCTTTACAATATTTTAAGAAATTTATAAATATAATACATTATTGTTGTCATGAAATAACACAGGAATCTAATACAGTCGAACCTCCAATAACGGATAACCTATCGGCGGACTTTTTTTTTCGGAAAGTTTTTTAACTAAATAATTTTCAAATTAACATTCAAACAACGGCTATTTTAATGTTTCCGTGAATGGCCGTTGTTCAGAGGTTAGGCAGTAATTGAACCTTTTTTTTTTTTTTTTTTTTTTTGCCTGGCACGGTACCGAATATTTTTTCGTTTGTCAGGTTTCCGCTTTGAACAAGTTTTTCTTAACATAAAAAATCGCTCCATTCCAAAGAGTTTTTCCTGTTTCTTTATTCAGGTTCCGTTTTGGACAGGTTTTTACTGTATAAGAAAATTATTTAGAATCATTTTCTGTAGAATATCTAATTCTTAAAATAAATATAAGTAAGAAAAATTAGTAAAAGGCAGTATTTAGAAAGATAAATTATCATCTAAAAAATGAAGTTAAAAGAATTAAATATTTCAATATCTGAAAATTTAAAACTTCTTTTAGTATGCAATTAATCAGTTATAACAATTCACTTTATCGAGAAGAATTTAAAAGAAGAATTGACTAGAATTCTATCAGACAATGTTATATTTAGATAAAAGAAATTGAAGTAACAAAATGGAACTTAAAAATTCAATTTTTTCTCCAACTTTTATATACATTCAAATACCAATTTTGAACTCCGATATATTCAATCAAATATTTTATTTATAACTTCTACAAAGAAAATCGTTTTATATAAAAATAATTCGCTACCATTTTCTTATCTAACATATTTGCATTTACAGCGTACTTACTGTTCAAATCGTGTGATTTGTATGGACAGACAACACATACAATTAGACTTATAGATTAAAATGGAAGCAAATAAAATATTATGAGAATACAGTATTTGCATTCGAAAAGAAATGTTATCGATACTTGCCTATAAGAAGAATTGTAAGGAGATTCGCTCAGTCGATCTTCCCAACTGAAATGACGTCCGACTAGAAATTTAAATACACAAAATATGTCTATTTTAATTTATGATATAATATTTACAGTTAATGCAGTAGTTTAGGAAACCGGAGCAAGTTCGGCATGCTAAGGAAATTGCTGTGTACGTAACGTACAGTACCATGATATAGGAGTCTCACGGGTATATATTTTTGCACATTTCGAAAGATTGAAACTTTACATAGAGCAGTGGTTCTTAACCAGTGTTCGTTAACCTACCTCGAGTGTTCTACAAAAGAAAAGATTTTAAAGCTTTTATTCAAATTTATTCCCATTGCAATATTTGTAGACAATTCCATGTTTTCATTTTATTCAATATATTAAAGTTTATTCGTTTATTGCTTCATTGTTTTCTGAGAATAGTAGATACGGAATTGCTTATCAATTTTTGAATATATTGATGCTAATGCTCCGTGTAATAAAAAGTATGTGAATAGTGTTCCGCGGCCTCAGAAAGGTTGAGAACCACTGATCTGGAGGTTGGCACAGAGTGCAGTTGAAAACGAGCCGCCAACCAGTGACCGAGTGGATATAACTACCGAACAATTGGTCGCGGGTTTTCTTCATGTGTCTAACACTTGAATAGGGGCCAGTTTCCCATAGAAAGTCCTCCTGGTGGCACTTACCCCTTGACAGATCACTCATATAAGAACATTAAAAGTAAGTATGAGAACACTTTTGAAATACAAAACAAATTTACTAGCCCCGTCGCCAACCACGTTCACGTAGTTATTTTTAAAATATTAGTTTTGGCGAACTTTTTCCGGTTTCCCATACAGTAAAATTTATATAATTTCAAAAGTTAACCTAAAATATATTCCTAATTCATTAAAATTATAGGCCTAAATATTTACAGGCCAGGCGTCAAACAAAACTATAAATAACTATGAATATAAACTTCATACCGTAATTTATCATTAATTAATAAAGCGTGTTTTCTTTTGATTTTTTGCAAAGAAGTTTCGACTGTGATAACCCAAATGAAATTATTGCCATTCAGTTTCTTAAAGAAATAACGTGTCTCAAAGCTAAGTTACAAAACTTACCGACCGATTCGCCGTCAACATCGTCGATGATTATTTTAATATTGTCTCCATCGTGATATCGAGGTCTGACTGGAGGTATTCGAGGAAGACTTCGATGTCTTCTTTCGTCAATGGCTAGACCATGATCAAAAGACATTGCACGATTGCGAATGGGAAAGTCCTCGGTATAAACTCTCCTCGCTCTTCTTTCTTCCGAAGGAGTATCTTCAAAAGAATAAGATTTCTGCGAAGAAAGACGGTTACTATGTCTGTGACTTTCTCGAATGGCGGGACCGTCAGAATCATAATTAAGCGACTTTCTTCTGGTATTCCTTCTTCTATCGACGTAGCCGTGTCGATGGTTATGGTCGTGAGATCCGTCTCCACTAAGATCACTAACGTCGGAGCTATCGGAGTTTCTTCGTTGTACGGTGAGTAAAGAACGGGAATCGTTGTCGAAGCTTTCAAAAGCACTTCCGGTTTCGGTAGATGATCCCATGCTATTGAAAGGACTATCCACTTCTGTTCTAGATTTCTGAAATTTGCTTTTCTTTCTAATTTTAATTTTTCGTTTCTTTTCGTCTTCGTCTTCTGGATCTTCGACAGAACTCTCTGAGGTAGAAAATATGCGCGGCTGCACAAATTTCTCGTTGTCTGCTTTTTGTTTCGTTGTTCTAATACTTTGATTAAGTGACCGATCAACCGGTCGAGAGAAAGACTGTTCGGAACCTCCCCGCTTTGATTTCGATGAACTTTGATCCGTATGATCGTTTCTACTGGAATCGGATGATGTAAGAGGTCTTTGCTGACCCGTAGTTGATGAATAATCGCTATGAGAATAGGAATGAGATTTACTTTGATCGGGTTTTATATTTTCCGCGGGTGAACGGGAAAATGACGTTCGTGTATTTTGTTTCGAAGTTGTTTCCGTTTCTTCCGGTACATCAACTTTACTTTGTCTTTCGACTGGAGGTCTACTTCTACGAGTGTCTTGTTTTGAAAGCTCTCGTTTAATTTTCTGGTTAGGCAACGGCAATTCTTCGTCCTTGCTTTTTTCAATCAGTTCTGCATGCTTTTTATCTGTCATCTTAATTTGCGAGGTTTCTTTTGGAATCTCTTTTGATACATCTTGATTCTGGAAAAATAAATATTTATTCGCATGTATACAATCTGTTTTATATAGGCTATATATAATGGAAATGGTTAAGAATTCAGATGACAATTCCAATTTTAATAATAACATAACATAACAATGAAAATCGATAATTTATCTAAAATTTCTCATTGCTTAAGGCACATTTTGAAACTTATTATGATAAAAAATTTGCCTACAGAATATAAAAACAAAACCTATTTTTTATATTTTTCATTAAACGTGCTTGAACATTACAATTTTTTGCATTTTTAGTTGATTAAAAATGATAATTCGTAGTACTTCATTGTTTATTTCTTTGAATCGAGATAATATAAACTGGTGAATTTATAAATAAATTTAAACATTTTACATCTCTTACATATAGATTTAATTAAAGATATTTAAAAAATGATAATAAAATATAGCTTGGATATTTGATTTTAATTGTTTTTTTCAATTTTGAAAAAAATATTCGCAAATAAAAAATGCTGTTTTTAATTTATAATTAATTCGAATTTGACAGTAGAAACTAAATATTTATTACGAAAAGTTCAAGTGTTATACGTTATTTTACGATAGTTTTTATATGTTAGTTCTTTCAAACTAATTAAAATATTAATATAATTCTTATTATTAATACTTTTTCTATTTTATTTATTAGATGAATAAGGCTAATATAAAACCCTTCGAGAAACAACTGAAAAATCTGTAAGACATTGACAGATGTAGAATTACCTCTACTAGATCCTACCAGATACTCTCCATTCTACCTCCCATGCACTCCAGATTTAAAAAAGCTGTTATCTTAAAAACCTAACAGAATAAGAGCATTTGGCGATATTTGTTTTAGTTCAGACAGTAAATGCACTTTTCTTTATGAATTGTTATCTCGTGTTCATTATATTGATATTAAAAACCTTTAATGACATAAAAATAAGAAAAAAAATTTTAAAAAAGATGACTTATTTTACAAGTAAAAAATAAGTCATCAATATNAAATTAAATTTTAAATTTAATGTATAGAAACTGAGCGAGCAAAGGAAATTTCTGTATGTTGCGCTGCTTAAACCATTGTTGAATATACCTGGCACGATGACAAGACACGGTACATTTTCACCCATAAAAATGAAGTCATTGTTAGGGATAAGCGTCGCTGCAAAAGGCTACAATTTCCGTTCCGGTAATTCAACTATTTTGCACCGTTCATTGAGTCCACATGATTTGCGTCTGGCCCATACCACAGACTGACACGCAAGCCCAATCATCATCTTTGGAGGATGCTGGATGATGCAAGAATGAACTTTTCATTTTATCGTCGGCGAACCCACATGCTGCCATTGATCTGGGAAATTAAGAAAATAGTCTCGTCACTCCAAATGACTTTCCTTCACTTCCCACTGTACAATTTTTGTTCTGTTTTGCCTACTCAACACATCGATAGAGTCGCTTTCAGTAACCAGTGGTTTTCTTCAATCTTTACAAGCTTTCGGGCCATTTTCTCTAAGTCGGCGTGAGACCGTGCGTGTACTAATAGCCACATTGTGATTTTCTGACATCTGGCGTTGAAGTTCATTACAATTCAGCAGACGACCAGAGAGTGACAGCCGCTGGAAAATTCGATCCCCTCGAGAAGACGTGATTCTGCTTCGACCTGTACGCGGTCTATCGGCAACCTCGCCAGTAGCTTTATATCTTTTGAGAGTTCTCGAAACAGAACTGGAATGACACTTTGAAACAGTGGCAATTTCTCTACAACTGTGGCTGCATTCTCTTAGAAAGAAAAACTTTGTACCTGTTCTCATCACTAAGACGTTTGCCTGTCGACATGAGAAATTATAATTAAGCAAGTAATCTTAATTTATATCCAAAAGAACGATTATAGCTGCATATGTGTTTCACGTTCACTTTTGCATTCTCGTGCTTATACTAGTACAAAAATAGGCATCTGATTGGTCAAATTGAACTTAATTGCCATCTCCATTTTCCTGTTAGATAATTTTGTGTTCCCTTTTCCCCTACATCTACACGGAATATTATTCAATTTTAAATTTGAATACGTTAAAGTATTCTTTATTAAATTTGCTTTCTGATAAAATAAGATGAAAGAGTTATGTAGATACAAGCCTACTGATTTTTATTTAATACAAAGCCCGGAAACAAACTTCATTCATAATTAGTGGCCAATTAACAGTGACCACCATATTATTTGATATATAATATGCTCACTTAAATTGTTTTTTCTTTACTCAGTCTTATTTAAGTATTAAAAGTGTATAAAAATATAATAACGTCTTTTACAGTTAATCTTTAATCAGTCTTTCCATTCTATTTTATGACAATAATATAGAATGGAAAAACTGAATAATATGCCAAAATATTTAAAAACAATTCAATATTAAATCAAAAACAAAATAGTTTATAAAGATTAACTGTAAAATATGTCATTGTATTTTGATAGTCTTTAGTATTTGAATAAGAACAATTTANAATGCCGGTTATGAATTTCAAATTCAGTTAAATAAATCTGAATCTAGTTGTCTTTCAAATTCAGCTTGATATTTTAAAAGATGATGAATATCCACGCATTTATTAATTTCGATCCATGTCTTTATGTGTATTTTCTACAGCAAAGAAAAATTTGATCGAAGACGAACGAAACATCTCTTCTTCCTTTCAAATTCTTACTATTCCAATGCGTTTTTTAATCGTGTAATTGACCCGAATAGACAATGAATTACTTCTTATAATTAATTACTTTTTGTCTCATCAGATTTATAGCTCAGTTTGTAGTGATTTACATAAAATAAAAAAATGTAATTTTATACTAAAATCTCTTTATTTCGATCTAAAACTTTTCTTTAAATTTTTATTTGAAACAGAATGTTACTAAAATTCTTATTAACTAATGAAGAACTGTCTGTTCCTTTTTTATCATTATAAATAACTGTTGAAGAAACGAACTTTGTATAAAATAAACGATTTACGATAGACTTATGATTAAATTTTAAGCTTGTCACAAAGGATGGTATCAGCTTTACATCTCGAATTACTATTATTTTTCGGAATTTATGTTGTAGAAACAGACACTGGCCATTCAAAATATTACTGTAATTCGATTAATTTAATTATCGACGTATTTTTTTGTAGTTATGATAGGAAGATAAATTCTCTGAATTAAAATTTACTTAGATATTTATGTCACTGTGTTTTATAATTTGATTTATCTAATAATTCAATGAAGGAATTTTAATACAAAATGAAACAATAAATTTTATTTCTAGATAAATGTAAGCTGTATAATTTGACTGTTTATATATTAAAAATGTACACTCGAATATTATCTCTTTTTAGAAAATTTTCTTTATAATTTAACGGAAGCATTTTTGTTAATATATTTGTAATTTTGAGAAGCATTTTTTTTGAGACAATAATTTTTACATGAGAAAACATATTAATATTTCGAAGTCTAATAAGAAGTTTCATCAAGACTTAAATTATTTAATGAAAACTGTACATATTTTTTCTTTTTATTAATGAAACTTGTGACTGTTGTCATTTTTCCGGATTAAATAAGAAAATAGATTTTTCTCTACAACAATTTCTCCTCATTATAATTGAAACAAAACGTATTTCTAGCTTCTGCCTTTCCTCATTTGCTTCTATATTTCTCTGCACAATCTAAACATACCAAAGAACGATAATAGACGTGAATACAAAAAATCTTTACATATAAATTACTGTTAAAAATGTTAAAATTTCTTTCATTTCTCTTCTAATTTTAAAAGTTTGTTACAATTAAAATGCTAAAAAAATCTTTAAAAAGTATAAAACGTTTGGTAAATTTGTTTTTAATTCCTTTAAAAGTCGTGAGTGTCTAAAACTTTATTTAATAAACGAATTTTTTAAACGTTTAAGACAGAAATTTTAGGATTCGTATAAACCAGAATAAGGTTTTGTTAGAATCTTAATGGTAACAAGGTTTAACATTAGAAGAAAGACTCCAAAACTGTATTTTTAACTGTAATTTATATACAAAACTTTCTTCCAAATTGTGCCTTTCATCTCTTTTAATGTATTTGGATTATGCAAAGAATTGTTGTAAAAGTTGAGGAGAAACAAAGACAGGAGATGTATCTTGTTTCAATTATAATAAAGACAAGCTGAAAGAAAAAAATTCTAGTGTCCGACTTAATCTGGAAGAATAGCATTAAAAATTAGTCATTAATAATAATAAGGCAATTAAATTATCTGTGACCAAAATAAAAAGAATAGAATATACATTCAAAAAGCAGTGATCATTAATTTCAGTAATTAATAAGATAAATTATTTTAAGAATATTTGAAAAAATCTATAGATAACGTTAAAATTTTTTATTTAGATTGAATTCATTTCTCTAATAATATATAAACATTAGACAATATGAAAATTCTGCTATTACCAAGAATCATGATGTAACAATGAATTTATGATCTACAGATCGATAATTTATGAAATTCATAAATTCATATGAAGTAAAATTAAAAGGTATAACCTAACTCAAGATTTAATTAAAGGATACTGGTTTAGATAAACCTGTATTTCAATTGATTTACTACATAATTATTTTATGATATGATAGTGTCCTGTAATTCAGAGAAACTAATAGAAAGTTTAGCGTCAGATAGTCTTTTGCAGACTGTAAAATCACGTTTTATACTTATATACAAACTCTTCATATTTTGTACAATAAAAATAAACAAACACAGAAATACAATATATGATTTTACAGCTTATAAAAATATCTTGTGGAAATTTTTATTAATTTCGTCAAATTGTAGGACAATATCGTATTATAAAATCATTTTGTAGTAAATTAACTGAAATACAAGTTTATTTAAACCAATTTTCTTTAATGAAATCTCAAACTAAGATTTGCCTTTTAATTTGTTTGCTATGAATTTATGAATTTATAATATTTCGAAGTTAATACACGTTTTCATTTCAATTATTTTGCGAGAGT